CCCCCACTGCCAATCAATCAATCAATCAATCAATCAATCAATCTTTTGAATGGATTTTTTTTCTTTTTTTTCGTTTTTTTTTTTTCCACGCTCGATCAATCAATCAATCACTTAATCAATCAATCAATCAATCAATCAATCAATCAATCAATCAATCAATCAATCAATCAACCAATCAATCCAACAATCAATCAATCAATCAATCAACGAATTAATCAATCAATCATTTTTTTTTTTCACCCAGGACAAAAAAAAATATCTTTTTTTTTACTGTTTTTTTGAATGGGGGGGTACCCCTTGACACCCGACCCCCCCGCAGCCCATCCACCCCCTCAGCACCCCTCCGGAAGGTCGTGTACAGACGGTCCGAAGTCTGTACGTACGGGTCGTACGGGCACCGGGGGGGGCGTACGTACGGACGGGCCGTATTTGTACGGCAGTATACACTGCTCTATGGGTTGTTCCTCTGTTTCTTTGATTAAAGTTTTGGATGAATGCTTGAGTAATGGGGTTACTTCGGTACGAATTGATTGTTCGGGTGGTGAACGTCTGACGGATAACTGGAAATTAGTGAAGCGGAAATTTGGTTCATCCATTGTAAGCGTAGATGGAGAGAAGGTGATTTTGAAGAAGTGTCGGGGTTTGTTAAACAATGGTTCTTCGATTTTTGTTGAATGTATTACGTCTTTCTGTTCGAAGTTGAGCTATTTGAAACCCGTACTTGCACAGTTGTTGGCAAAACCGTTGTCGGCGCGAATACCCTTACAAGGGTATCCGCCCTGGTTTTTGCAGGTGACAGATAATAGGTTTGAAAGTTTAAGTATACTGCGCAAGGCGCGGTTGCGTCTGTGGTTTATGTTGACTGGATGGTTGACTAGAATAGAGAGTGTGTGGGCGCGCGGATTTGAGGCGCACATGATCCTTTTAATTGTTGATGATTGGAGGGTCGGCGTGAGTGCCGATCGAATTTTTTCTAATTAAATAGGGATTAAAAAGATTGTCTTGCTGATTGATATGCCCACCTGTGGCCTGCGCGTACGTGCGGAGGACGACATTGACAACAAGGTGACTTCTAAAGGCGTTTCGGTAGCCTGGCGCGTCGCGCAGTGTCTGTTCATTTGGGCGTCCGCCAGCGCTAGACCCAGACTTGGGCCTAGCGCTATTTGTTACGGCGCCGAACTTTCATCAGGGAGATTCAGGGATCGAGGTCGAGCGAGTGACGACGCGGGGATCAGAGTGGCACGAATGGACCGAGGGGTTCAGGGTCTAGCGGGGCTACCCCCCTTGGTTTTGCCGTCGGCGACGTCCGGTCGGCGGTGGCGTTTTCTAGGTAAATTCTTTATAGCGTCGTATTTTTTATTAATTTCTGCTATGCTCCGACGTGCCGATTGACCCGGGCACGACACCGACTTTTAAGGGCCGTCGGCGGGAGCGCCAGTCAAGGACTTGGGCTCGCGCCTCTTTTGACGGTTTGATCGGGTTCCGACATGTTTGGGATGCTGGCAAAATTCCTCTATCCCACCCATCTTGGAATACGGGCCAAAGTGTTCAGCGTGCATGCAAGCCGGTGGGTGATTAGCCTACGAGGCGGGAGAAAACCGAGTGGCGGGGCCCCTTTTGTGGGTGCATCGGCCGCAGCCCACGATCTGTGTGTGGGAGGTTTGAGTGTGAGTATGCCCGTTGGGCCCCGACGGAGGGCGAACTATCCCTGAGCGGGGTGGCTCGGGCTATGGTGAGGCCTGCAACAGTGTTGGCTGTGCGCAGGCAGCTCACGGTGAACCCCCCCCCGCTACGGCCTTCAAAGTTCTCATATGAATACGTTTGTTACCACCACCACCAAGGTCTGCACTGGGACCGACTTTACTTAGGCCCACGCTGCAGGCTTGGCAGCAAGCCGAGCCCCTGACCATACAACCGGTTGGCCTGTGCGACCTTTAGGGGCTCTGAAGGGGTAGCGGGCTCTGCTGAGGGGAGGCGTGGTGCAGAGCGGTGGGTGCTGCCTATGCAGAACGAGGCATGGGGAACCGGGCGAGTGGTTGCAGCGATGCTAGGCTGTCGCGGGGTCAGTCGTTTTCCGAAATATCGCCTGACCAGACTACTACGGTCGTTGCGGGCCGCTACGGCCAGGCACTTCGTTAACAAGAGGGGGCAGGCTGGAGGCGAGGCGCTACGGGCAGAGAAGAGTGATGGGGCGCTGAGCCAAGACGCGGGTGCAGAGGAGGTGAGTGCACCCGGACGCGATCTGCGACCGGGTCCATCTGCAGATTGAGACGGGGAGGGAAGCGACTGTTGGGCGGGCGCTGCGGCAGGCAGAAGGAGGAAGCCGGTAGCTGGCGGGGTAGACTGGGTAGGCAGGTGGGCCGTGACACACTCCTTGGCAGAGGCCGACTTCTGTGACCACCGCCCGGCTGCCTGGATCAGTTATCACGGCCCGTGACGCGTGGGTTAGTGCGCAGTAAGGCGCAAGAGAAAGCGAGCGAACCGAAGACAGGGTGAAGCTACGAAGAGGGAATGAACCCGGGTGGGAAGATGCGCCGGGTGCATGCGGAGATGGCGGGGAGGAGATGGCAAAGCCCGCCCGTTTCTTGATGAAATCGGGCAGGGAAAGAACGTATCCGGGGGTTTGTGGGCCGGGCGAGTGCGATCGTGAGATTAGTTTTGGAAGTAGGTCGGTAGATTAGGAGGTTAGTAGAGTAAGTGGTGCGTCGGGGCTATGGCGGAGGCGGAGAAGGAGTGCGGGAAGAAGATGTCGACTTCACCCGATCCTCGGTGGAAACAGGTGGGGAAAAGGGGTGTTCCGATGTTTTAGGCATAGGCAAGTGTGACCGCGAAGTTAGTTTTAATATTAGGGGTGTAAGATGGAAGGTAGGAGAGAAAGGAGGTGCGACGAGAGGTCGAAGAAGGTGATCGGAGGGAAGGCGAGGTGAGAAGTGGTGTAATTCGCTCACTCGTTGGCCGTTTTGGGCGATCCAGGAATCAAACCCGGGGTTCTGAGGCGGCGCGGATTGAATGGCCGGGGAAGAATGTTAGTTTGGGGCTCGGATTTGGTGCTGTGAACATCAGGGGCCGCGCTGCGTGGTTGAAGGAGTGTCGGAACTGAAATGAACCTTCCCAGGCAAGAGGGGAAAATTCATTCTCATTTCGCATGTTCGATTAAAGGTCGTACTGCCCCTTGCGTTCGTTATGGCGACCGTAATCCTCTGTTATCCTGCGCGCCCACTATAGTATTGCTCATCACCACCGCGGTATTCGGTGGAATGATCACAATCCTATTGGTCGCCTTTGCCATGGTTGTGAGCATGCTCCTCGTCGCCGTCACCATTGCGAACTTCCACAACGCCTGATCGTGGCCTTTGCAGTTGATCCGGACATTCAGTCTAACCCTCCGAGGAGTCGTCGCAGTTGTCATCGTGCTGGCCCTTGCTGCCGTCTCTATCGTAATCAATGAGGTGG